AGGCTCAAATGGGGAGGGAAGCCTGAAGGCTCCAGGGCCGGCTCAGGCCAGAGCGAAGGCCTCGGTCCCAGGTGCCAGAGGCAAACCGGTGCCAGCAGCCAAGGGAAGGGAAGGCCTATTGCACGAATCTCTTCGTGCAACAGGCCTCTAGTTTTATATAATAAGAGGATCATTGTGACAGCTGTATTAAGGAGAGTCAAGGTCAGAAGCAGGGAATCCTGCTAGGAAGCTACTGCAATAATCAAGATTGGCTTGGACCACGGTGGCAGTGGAGGTGGCAATGATGGGGTAACTAATGGTCAGATTCTGTATATATCCTGTACGTATATATTTTAGAACTAACTGAAGTGCCTGAATGTGAGTTATAAGAGAAAGGGGGAATCAAGATGACTCCAAACATCTCTTGACTTAAATAACTGAAAGGACTTATATACCATTAATTGAGACCACATGATACAGCTTTAACAACCATAAGGCAAATAGCCTAAATTTCCAAATTTGAATTTTGAATTGTAATTTTTAAAAGTTTAGCCCTAGCCAGTTTGGCTCAGTGGATAGAGCGTTGGCCGGAGGACTGAAGGGTCCCAGGTTTGTTTCCAGTCAAGGGCATGTACCTCAGTTGCAGGCTCCATCCCCAGCCCTGGTTGGGGCACCTGTGGGAAGCAACCAATCACATTGCTGTTTCTCTGTTTCTCCCCCTTCCTTCCACTCTCTCTAAAAATCAATGGGAAAATATTCACAGGTAAGGATTAACAACAACAACAAATGTTTGCTCAAGACTCTACAGAGGCTTCTAGCAGATAACTGGTAGAAAAGAGAAACTTAGAGAAGATAATACTTTGGAGTTCTTCAGGCTCCATCCTTTGCTACAGTGAAAGGAATCACAGATCCAGTCCCTAAATGGACTTTGTTAGGAGGGAACTGATAGGAGAAGGAAAGCAAACACTTAAGAGTCCTGATTAAAAGGTGCTTCGGGAAGATCTGAGGACTTACCTGGAACATGACTTTGCAATTTCCAGTAGTCAACACAGTTGTCTTTCCAGGCTCTTGTATAATTGGAGGGCACTATCCTCAGATGGCAAATTAAGGGCAGGAAAAAGCAGTCATGAAAAATCGGGATTAACTTGCAGCTCTGTGACACACCTGCGTGGAGAAACACAAGGGGAATCATTTTCTAGGGCTCCGACCTTATTTGAACTAACAGAGTATTCCCTGGCACGACGTAACTAAACCATTTACTAGGTTCCTCCTGCAAGTTAATCAACTTTTATATTACCTAAAAGAGAAACTCATAAAACAACAGTAGTAAGCATGTTAAATATGAGCTGATTTAATCGTCACCACTCTGCACGGTGGGCATTCACATTATTCCAGATTTCTTTTTTTAAACGACTTGACAATTGAAAGGGCGATATCGAAACAATTGTTCCAGGTTACACAACCGGAAAGCGTCAGCTTCTTCACTGGATGACACAAAAACAAGTGCAGGCGGCGTTTTCTTCCGTCCATACTCCGTGCACTCGCTCGCCCATTTTCTTTTCACGAGCTGTACGGGGTGGGCGCCGCCTGGCACCCCTTCCACACAGCAAGGCCAGAGGCCCAGAGAGCTAAGGCCCTCGTGGGCTCACACCGCGGGGAGACGCTGGGAGCAGCAAGGGCTCGGGCCGTGCCAGCGCCCGGGGCCGGCCGTTAACCGGAGGCCCGCGCCAGCCCCCCCGGGACCCACGCTTGCCCAAATCCGCGCACCGGACGCGCCGGGTCGCTGTGCGCGGAGACAATGGTTGCCGTCCTCACGGGAACTGCACCGCCGCGTCCTCCCAGCGTCCAGGACGGAGCCTTCCGCCTGGCCCGACACTAGCGCGGGGTGGACCACGAGCGGGGCCCCCAGCAAGGCGCCATTTCTCAGACTTCTCCGCACACACTAGTTACCGGTGCTGCGCCCGGTCGCCTCCAGCAAAACCACACTTCCCAGCAGTCTCCGTGGCCGCGCGCGGTCTCCGCGCCCCGCGAGAGCTCGGCCTGGACGCGGGGGGCGGCGGGACACGCACGCAGAGTGAGGAGGGGCGAGGGGAGCCTCCGGTGGACTCGCCGTCTGCTCCCCGCGGCGTTGTAAGCGCCGTCGCGTGTGTCCGGAAAAGTGTGCGGGCGAACGTGGTCGTTCGCACGTGGGTTCTGCCGGCCGCCTTCCGACCTGACCTTTCAGACGCGCTTAGGCGTAGTTCACTTCTTAGAACCCTCTCTTCTCCCAAAACTCCCTCCAGCAAATGCTCCACGTCTATTCTCAGTAGAAAAACGTATTGAAATGTTTTTCTAAGTTAATTTTTCTATAATTTAAATAGGGAAACATTCCTATGACTTTCCTGGGCTGCTTTTCTCTGGGTCATTATCATCTCGTTACTAAATATGCGAGACACGTTTCTTTTCTTGACCTCTTAGCATTTGCTATAACTGGCCATTTTTCATCAGTCTCTTCTCATGGCTCTATGATACTACATTTTTCTCAAATTTCATCTTTACGGTTGCCGCTTCTCAGTTTCCTTTTCTTGTTCATCTTTTTTGAGCTCTAAATGGGTGTGCTGCCCTAGCAGGTCTGGCTCAGTGGATAGAGCATCTGCCTGCGGACTGAAGGGCTCCATGTTGATCCCTAGTCAGGGCACATGCCCGGTTGTGGGCTCTATCCCCAGTGGGGGGCGTGCAGGAAATAGCCGATCAATGATTCTCTCTCATCATTGATGTTTCTAGCTCTCCCTCTTTCTTCCTCTCAGAAATCAATAAAAATATTAAATAAAAAAATTAAAATGGGTGTGCTTTTTAATTTTATTTATTTATTTATTTACTTATTTACTTATTTATTTATTTTGGTTAATCCTCACCTGGGGATATTTTTCCATTGATTTTTTCTTTTTTTTTAGAGAGAGAGAGAGAGGTGAAATGCAGAGAAAGAGACAGACAGAAACCTCGATGTGAAAGAAACACATTGATTGGTTGCCTCCCTCACAGGTCCAACTGGGACAGGTCAAGCCTCCTACAGCCCAGGTATGTGCCCTTGACCAGGAATCAAACCCACGATCCTTTGGCACGCAGGCTGAGGCTCTAACCACTGAGCCACCGACCAGGGGTCCTGTGATTTCTTTTTAAAAAAAATACATTTTTATTGATTTTAGATAGGAGGGGAGAGGGAGAGATGGAAACATCAATGATGAGAATCATTGATTGGCTGTCTCCTGCATGCCCCCTACTGGGGATCGAGCCTGCAACCCAGGCATGT